TAGTTCAGGGAATCTTGTTATTAGGGCAATGGCCCCACTTGACACCCTGATAATCTCCACTCACAGCCACACTGTGACCTCCTAGGTCCCTGGGGAATACAGAGGAAGCTGGGACTGGTTGAGACATAGAATTTTCGGAGAATTTTATGGACCCTCTGTAGTCCTTCCACTGGAAGCAGGCAATGGCCCAGTCTAATACAACTCCAATAAAAAGGAAGACTTTCACTAAGATTTCATAAACACCCACATTGTTCCTGGTTGCCCCTCAGTTCAGCTCCTTTGTCTCCTCCACACCTGCATAACAAAAAAATAAGCAGAGCAAGTAGGAGAAGAGGGAAATTCCCTTACAATGTGCCAGGTATGGGACTGGCATCCCACAGTCCATTATCTCAAGCAAGAATGTAGTCCCATGCCTTTGAAGATTTCAGGTCACCCATATCTTACATGTCAGGGAAGGTAGATTCCTACCAAAGAAGCTTACTTAAAACAATAGGCAAGAGAAACTGTTGTTGGTGGGGAGGAGAACAGAGGAGTTCCAATGCAATGATGTGGGACCATAGAATAAAAGGAAAGACATTGATTAAACATGAAAATTAAAAATATTCATTTAATATTTACAAGACAAGGTGTCTACTACTCATTCACTCATGCACCCATCTCACAAATATGTGCCAGGCTTTGTGCTAGCCATAAATGGTTGTACGTCCATAAATGAGACTCTAACGGGGCTTACATTCTACATTCTGGTGGGAAGACAACCACTAAAGAAGATAATTACCGGTGGTAAAATGAAGGAAATCATCAAGGTCATGTGATAGGGATTAATTGGGGCAACTTTAGGTAGGGTAGACATACTACGTGCTCTGTCATAAATGCTGACTGGCTTTTATAGAGTCTTTTTTACTATGTGCCATACACTGGGATAAGTGCTTTCGAAGGAAGTATTTGACTTAGTCTTCACAATAATCTGATCAATAAGGCCCTCATTTTATGGATAAGGAAGCAACTAAGTGGCAAAATCAGTAGCCTGAGATCACACTGCTGATATATACCCAAAGCTGGGGTTTCCAAAGCCTGCCCCCTTTACCACTAACCTCTTGGCCTCGTTCAGTCAAATTCTTCTTGTTTAGGAATAATACTCAACTTCTGTAACATTAGATTGCTGCAATCTTAACTCGCCATTACTTCTCAATGTACTTCACTTTATGTCCTGTATTAATTTCCTGTAACAATTTCCCACAAACTGGGGCGCCTGGCTGGCTCAATTGGTGGAGCACGCCACTCTTGATCTTGGGGTTGTGAGTGTGAGCCCCACGTTGAGTGCAGAGATTTCTTAAAAATAAAAATCTTTTTAAAAAAACACAAAACAATTGTCCACCAAGTGTCTTAAAACAACAGAAATTTATTCTTTCATGGAAGCTTCTGGAAGCTAGACGTCCAAAGTCAAGGGATCAGCAAGGACATGCTCCCGCCAGAGGTTCAAGGAGTCTTCTTCATTGCTTCGTTTGACTTTTGGCAGCTCCTGAAGTTCTTTGGCTTGGGGCAATGTAACTCCAATCTCTGACTCCATCTTTATATGGCTTTCCTCTCCCCACCTTATCTCTTGGCATCTTCTTTTAAGGATGTCATTCATTGGATTAAGACACATCCTAAACCGGCCTCCTCATTTTAACAAATTACATCCACAAAGACTGTTTCCAAATAAGGAAAAATTCACTGGTTCTGAGGGTCAGTGAAATGCGGGGGGACATTAGTCAACTCAGTACGGCCCCCCAAGGACGAAGTCGACCCCTCAGTTATAGCCCATATCACGGACTGTGTTAAGTGGCACTCACTGGCTAGTCTTCCCCATGAGATGAGCTCCACACTCACCTCTCCTGGTCCCCAATGTTCCCTGACAATTTAGCATAGAGTTTTTTTCCTCTTCCAAATTTTTTATTTATAAATTCTAGTTAGTTAACATATAGTATAATATTGTTTTCAGGAGTGGAATTCAGTGATTCATACCCTATATATAACACTGAGCATTCAACATGACTAGTGCCCTCCTTAATACCCATCACCCATTTAGCCCTTCCCCCACCCACATCCCTCCAACAACCTGTTTTGTTAAGAGTCTCTTAGGGCTTTTTTCTCTCTCACTTCCTCCCCCTTCCTGTATATTCATCTGTTTTGTTTCCTAAATCCCACGTATAAGTGAAATCATACGGTATTTGTCTTTCTCTGACTGAATTATTTCACTTAGCATAATACACTCTAGTTTCATCCACATCATCACAAATGGCGATATTTCATTCTTTTTGATGGTTGAGTAATATTCCATTGTGTATATACACCATATCTTTATCCATTCATCAGTCAATGGACACTAGGGCTCTTTCCATAATCTGGCTACTGTTGATAACAGCATACTCTTAAGAGGGCTGGTGAATACCTGTGGAGCCAAAAGCATTTTGAGGGGCACCTGGGTGGCTCTCAGTGGTTGAGTGTCTGCCTTCAGATCTGGTTGTGGTTCCGGGGTCCTGGGATTGGGTCCCATATTAGGCTCTTTGCAGGGAGTCTGCTTCTCCCTCTGCCTCTCTCTGTGTGCCTCTCATAAACAAGCAAAAAAACAAACATTTTGAAAATATCAGATTACATTTTAATTCAGATACCTATCTTTTTATAAGGCAAAGACATGGCATGAATTTCTAAGGTAAATTTGTGATTCCTTAAAGTTTGGGCATGCCTTTCTTTATTCACTGGTGGGGTCTTTCCTCATTTTAGCAAAGAAAATGCCCAAGTACCTGGCATAAATTGATACTTAGTAAATATCTGATGTTCAATGAATAAAACTAGAGTTTTAAAATCACTGAATTAGGGAAGCCTGGGTGGCTCAGCTGTTGAGCATCTACCTTCGGCTCAGGGCATGATCCTAGAGTCCCAAGATCAAGTCCCACATCGGGCTCTTTGCGTGGAGCCTGCTTCTCCCTTTACCTGTGTCTCTGCCCCCCTCTCTCTCTGTCTCTCTCTCTCTCTTTCTCTCATGAATAAATAAAATCTTTTTAAAAAAATCATTGAATTAGGGGATCCCTGGGTGGCACAGCGGTTTGGCGCCTGCCTTTGGCCCAGGGCGCGATCCTGGAGACCCGGGATCGAATCCCACATCGGGCTCCCAGTGCATGGAGCCTGCTTCTCCCTCTGCCTGTGTCTCTGCCTCTCTCTCTCTCTCTGTGACTATCATAAATAAAAAAAATTAAAAATAAAAAAAATTTAAAAAAAGAAAAAAAATCATTGAATTAAATGATTCACTTCCACACTCTCTTCCTCTCTCTTTTCACATTGATGCTCAATTTCTGCTCTAAGTAAAGAACAAGTTTATGGAGGAGAGCAAGTGGGGAAAGGGGACCCCGGAAATCACTGAGAACTGCCCTCATTGTTTAGACAAGACTTGCCCAAGAAGCCCCAACAAAGTGGTATCCAGTGCCAGGAATGCCCATTTCCCAACTTTTAGCTTTGTCCACTGTTTTAATGTTTCTTGCCTGTCCCTGAAGATTTACATTTTGGTTATAAGGATAAGAAGTGGAGGTCACAGTGTCCCATTTTATCTTCCCCAAGATGAGTTCTCTAACATCAAAGACCATTACTCACTCTGATCACTAGAAGATGTGTGCGAATGGGTTTTATTGTTTTGTGTCTTGAGGTGTCTGTGCTTACGTTCGGGCCCTGTTTCAACATAATTTTGGAAAGAAACACAGAAGATAAAACAGCTGTTCAATCAGCAACAGCCATTGTGTTACCTTATGACTCTTAGAATGAGGAAGTGCTTGGTTCTGTCAACAAAGGCCCCAACCTCTCCCAGGGTGCAAGAGGGAAGCAGCTTGTTAAAAGGCACAGATTCCACATCAGAAGACTTGGGTTCTGATCCCAGCCCTGCTCAAACTAGCAGTGCGATTGACCTTGGGTGACTCCAATCCTCCCTCTGGGTCTCAGTTTCCTCCTTCCTAAAATGGGAAGAGTAGGGAAAGGGATAATGTAGAGGATCTCCAAAGTCGCTTCAAACTGTGATATGCCATTTGTGGGGACTGGCTGTGCCACGTGAGGTCATTAGATTTCCCCACTTGCTGGCCCCACCTCCTGTTTGAGCACACAGCAGGTACAAACTGTAGAGGGATTGGTGACCTCCCTGCCAGGGGAGGTTGACACAGGCACTCCTTGGGCCCTGGAGCTCTCAATTTTCTCACCCTGCTACTCTTTAAAAAAAAAAAAAAAAATGTTGCTTTGTGGCAACCTGTGCATGCGTCTTATTTTTCCAATTAGATATTCCCCAAGCACGGTAAATAAATATTAGACAGAGAAAAAGATCACAGAGGCCTCCTCTCTTCCTCCCTTCTCCTGATAATGCTTCCTCCCACCCTCCCTCCACCCCACATTGCTGCCAGGGCTGTCACAGTGCCTTTCCTTCCATCTAGTATTCCTGCCTCTAGACTTGGTCTTCTTCTTTTTTTTTTTTTTTAATTTATTTATTAGAGAGAGAGAGAGAGAGAGAGAGAGAGACAGGCAGAGGGAGAAGCAGGCTCCATGCAGGGAGCCGGACGGGGGACTCGATCTTAGGTCTCCAGGATCACGCCCTGGGCGAAAGGCGGCGCTAAACCGCTGCGCCACCCCGGGATCCCCGAGGCTCGGTCTTCTATACTACAGTCCAGGAAGTCCCCTACGGCTCCCAGTGGCAGAAATGCGCTCGCTACCCCCCACCCTCGGCCGCAGCGGGCCTTCCACACCCCCGCGACTCAACCCGGCTGCGAAGTCCCCTCCCAAGCGAGTTCATCCGTCCCCCCGCGGAGCGCGAGCAACGACTCTTTGCGTTTTTCTCCCTCTGAGCGCCAGAGGGCGCTGCAGGCACGGCCGACCCGGAGGGGAGGAGCCAGTCGCCAGGCAGCCGGCGCGACACGCCCCCTTTCCCCTCCGAGCCAATCACTAGTGGGAGTGGGCGGGGCCACGCGGCCCGGTCCCTGCGCCGAGAGAGGCGGCGGCGGAGGTTCGGGCGCGGCGACGCGGCCTTCGGCGATGAGGTCCTGGGCGGTGGGCCTCGGGCCGCCGCCGCCGCTGCCGCTGCCGCTGCCGCTGCTGCTGCTGCTCGGCGCCGCGTTGGTGCGCGGGCCGCCGCCTCCGCGCCGCTACACCCCGGACTGGCAGAGTCTGGACTCGCGGCCGCTGCCGGACTGGTTCGACAAGGCCAAGTTCGGGGTGTTCGTGCACTGGGGCGTGTTCGCGGTGCCGGCCTGGGGCAGCGAGTGGTTCTGGTGGCACTGGAAGGGCGAGGGGCTGCCGCAGTACGAGCAGTTCATGAGCGAAAACTACCCGCCCGGCTTCAGCTACGCCGACTTCGGGCCGCAGTTCACGGCGCGCTTCTTCCACCCCGACACCTGGGCCGACCTCTTCCAGGCGGCGGGGGCCAGGTGAGCGCCCCGGGGCGGGCCGGCGGGGGGGCGGGCCCGGCCGAGGAGCCTCCCGAGGGGTGCGCACTGGGTGTGGCGCACCTGGCCTCGCGGAGGGGGCGCGTCTGCTCGGGGGCGGGGGGCAGGGGAGGGGAAGCCCTGGGTGTCTAGGCCTGTGTATGGAGACGATCGAGCTGCGCCGCACCCCCGGTCCCTTCCAGGTCAACAAGACAATCAGGATTCCAGAATTTTCATCCCGTGGTCTGGAGTTTTGTCAGCCACCTGCGGCCTCCTTCCACGGTGATGGAAAGCGGTTGTACTAGCTCCTTTTCAGCCTTACTGTCTCCCCCCCACCCCAGGGCGGGGAGAGAGTTCTGGTGCGCTGTGTAGGTGAACTGGGCCGACCCTCCCCGGCTCTCGTCAACGCCTGCACACAGGAGGTGCCCAAGCGCTGTCTGCGCTGTGTTGAGAGCAGAGGGAACTTGCTGTGCGAGGGTTCAGGGAAGTGAAAGTGCGGGAGGCCGAGGCTGTTGAAGGCCTGGGGCCAATCCTGAAGGACTGATCCCTTGAGGGCAGTGTGTTGCCAGCTGTAAAGTCAGGAAGTGGTTACCCTCAGCTTCTAGAAGAGTAAAGTTGACGGCAGGCCGGGAGGGAAGCGGGTCGGAGGAGGGTAAGAATGGAGCCAGGGAGTTTCCCTAGTTCTCGACTTAGAGCGGTCTTCCACCCTTACCATGCCCCTTCAGTCCTCTCCTGGGTTTCAGGTTCTTTTGGACAAGCTTTCATGTACTAAAGAGAAATTACAGCTGACATTTAATGTTTGCTGATAAATGTATGGGAATATAAGGCTCGAATAAAGAGAGGTGGTGGCCACTGTCTAATAGAAGCCTTAGAGATCCATAATTTACAAATTAAAAAAAAAAAAAAAGAAGGAAATGTGAGGGCAGCCTGGGTGGCTCAGCGGTTTAGCACCTGCCTTTGTTTGGCCCAGGGTGTGGTCCTGGGGACCCGGAATCGAGTCCCAAGTCGGGCTCCCTGCATGGAGCCTGCTTCTCCCTCCCTCTGCCTGTGTCTCTGCCTGTCTCTCTCTCTCTCTCTCTCTCTCTCTCTCTCTCCCTCTCTCTCTCTCTCTGTGTCTGTCATGAATAAATAAATCTTTTTTCTTTTTTTTTAAAAAAAATGAAATGTGGGAGACCTTTGTCCATCAAGTGTCTGGCTGTCTGGGCTTGGAGTAGGGGTAGGCAAGTAGGAAGAAATGGCATTTTGTAGCTCTTTTGTTCTTGGAGAATTCTCCTAAAGATCCCTTATTTTGTGGCCCTGGGTGACAAGCCCACTTAGAGGAAGGGAACCAATGTCCTACATCCAAATCTCATGACTCTGAGGCAAACATACTTTCCACCATACCAGAGGTCTGCAAACTGTGGCCAGAGAGATGGGTTCTCTGCCTGTTTCTGTAAATACCATGAGAATGATTTTTTTTTTATTTTAAAAGGATTAAAAAAGAAAAAAGTATATGCCACAGAGAGGAATGGGGCCCACTGAGGGTGAAACACTATCTGGGCCTTAAAGTCTTGGAGCTCCCCACACCAGCCCATGATTAAATCATCATGTGCAGGTGTCATCTGCCTTTCTGCCATAAAAACAAATGAAATGTTGAGTGTTATTTCAACACTGCACTTTTCTCCCTAGCTCTTTCGGTCTTTTGTCACCTCTGCAAATGAGAGACAATTCACGTAGGCTTTTCTTTTACTTTTCTATCATCTGCTATTTCCAGAACCAGAGAGCTAAGGAAGGGGCATTTATTTTCCCTTCCCTCTGGGCCTCCTTCCTTGGCTGGAGACTAAGGACTCCGGCTTCCTTAAGTTTGCTACCATTCCTGGAGCAGTACCCAAGGGGAGTTGTGACTACATCACTTCCCTGGGTGTCACTGGTATAGTCACTCATGCAAGTACATTGAACTTAGGAGACATGCAAGGTCAAGTTCTCCCAACTTTTCTTAAACTCCTCAGGTGTGCTGGGTGAGTTCATGTTTATGGCCCACTGCTTGCTTCCTGTGCTTATGTAGTTTTGATGTCCGCAGGTATGTAGTCCTGACGACAAAGCATCACGAAGGCTTCACAAACTGGCCAAGTTCTGTGTCTTGGAATTGGAACTCTAATGATGTGGGTCCCCATCGTGATTTGGTTGGTGAGTTGGGAAGAGCCCTCCGGAAGAGGTAAGCATCTACAGATGGTTACTTTGTCATCTCTGTTGATCTATCATTCCTCTCTGTTCTTGTGTGTTTTCTAAGTTTGCATCTAGTAAGTAAACCTGACGGGCTTCTGGCCTTTGAGTTAGCAGTGTTTGAGGCTGGGCACTTTTCATGTGATCAAAGGTGATATCATCAGAGAAGTTCATCACCCTGTTTAGGGAAGGGATATCCAGTGTAGACCATAATGCTTCATTTGCATGCTGTGAAGATTCTTTCTGGAAGGCCTGCCAGCCCAAGGCATTTTCCAGTGTCTGATGAAGGACTGGGTCTGTGACCTTTGTGCCCTCCTTAGCTGTCAGCATGCAGCTTTGCAGGCATTCAGAGAAACTTTGGAGGAGTGCTGCATCAGGAGGAAACTGACAAGGGCAGGTAAAGGAGCCAAAAAGTGAAATAAGGAGCCACTGTGGTTGATCAAGATCAAATAGCTTGGAAGTGGCAGAGATGGGATTTAAACCCAGTTATTCTGGTTTGGGACCCTATAGTTCTGGATATGATTGCCTAAAGGGAGGAAAAGTGGTATTTGTACATCTCAGTTCTACTATGATTTGGTAAACTTAATGCCCTATTTCAGGGGTAGGCCAGCTGCCTGTTTGTATAAAGTTTGATTGGAACACAGTTACACCCATTCATTTATGTGTTGTGTCTATTGGCTTCTTTCAAGTTACAATTTCAGAGTTGGAATAGAGACCGCAAGGCCTGTGAAGCCTAAAATGCTAAGTGGCCCATGAAGAACGCATTTTCTGGTCACCTGGTCAATATTCAGTTTCTCAGTGCTGTGCTTGGCTAACAGTCCTACTGTAAAACTCAGCTGTTGAAAGACTGGACTTTACGATCCTTGATTTTACCTTCTTTGTATCTATTTAGTCCCCAAGTGATATGAAATATCTAACTCTTTCTGCCTTATCTGTGCTGTTGCAATGTCATTCTTACTTCTCACTACAGTACAGTGCTTCGTGATACTCACCATTTATAACTCAAAACAAGTTTTATTGTGTATGAAAATAAGTTACTTTGACCCTTTTATATTTTGGACGAGAATTCTTAACATTTTAATGTTAAGAACTATTAGTAAATCTTAAGTAAAGGAAGCGATAAACCTGTATCCATCAATTTCAACTACATAGAAAATGTTACTAATGATTACGTCTGAGTGATAAGACCTGGGATATTTTATTCTTTATACTTTTTTCTATCTTCCAACATCTCTACAATATGTATTCTTACAACTGACAGAGAAAACTATTTTTAAAAAGGATTGTGTATCATTATTGAGATAACTGACATAGATAAAAAATGGTTTAAATGACATTTGATGTTAAGGTATTTATGTGTAAAAAGTAGTCCTGTCTGTGATCAAAAACTCAACCATTTTGTTTAACGGAAAGAGATAATTTAAGGAAATTGTTTGGGATCCCACTTGCCCCTACATGTCCTTGCTGGTAAGTTTCACCAAGATGTAAACAATGCTGCCATTGATTTTTCTTAAACTACATCATTTTTTCTTTGCTTAATGGATATTTGCTGTTCTGTTTTTCCATTTAAGGAACATACGTTATGGGCTCTACCACTCACTTTTAGAATGGTTCCACCCACTGTACCTACTTGATAAGAAAAACAACTTCACAACACAGTTTTTTGTCCGTGCAAAAACAATGCCAGAACTATATGACCTTGTTAACAGGTAACAAAAAAAAGTTTTTGCCCTTATGACTTTGATCAGTGAAATCAAAGCTCCCTATAGGATAACGTTAAGTTCGGGGAAAGCGGGAAAGGAGGGAATGTGGAAAAAAAAATCTGTAAGACATCAAAATAAAAATGGTGGTTTGCATTAAAACAGAATATGTTTTTCTTCCTATGGTTCAAAACTCCTACAATGTAGTCATCTTGCTTTATAGATTGAAATGAACAAAACCAAGGATGGGGGTTAAGTCAAAACTTCAGTCCCTCCTTGCATGCTGGTTTCTTTGTCAGGACCTTGGAGAGAGGCAGTGTGGCCCCCAAGGACACTTTCCCTCCTCCCCTACCGGATTTGGCATCTGGTAGATTTGTATTTGAATCCTGGCTCCTGTTACAAACCTTAAATGACCAACCTTCTGAGCCTCAGATTCTTGCTCCATAAAGTAGGGAAATAATTCTTTCAATATTATGGGCTCAGAATGATATATGCAAAGTATCTGTCATCTTGCCTGGTACAGAATATGGGTGTTGTTATCATTATTTTTCTTAAAATGATTCCTTTCACTTTGGGACCCATCAGTAGTCTTCACCATGCTTTATTTCTAGTTTGCCCTTCTTACACTGGGGGCTGGCTCATAGAAGATGGTGGACCTTTAAAGCTCTAGGGACAGCCAGCCATCTCTGCCTGGCCTCTCATTTTAGACCAAAACCAAATCAAAATTTTTTGCATCCAGACGACTTCCCTAAGGATACAGTACAATTGTGAGAGATCAGCAGAGGCTTGGAGTCAGACAGACCTGGGTCTGAAATCCAGTTCTTTTTCTTACTGGCTGTGTGACTTTGGTTAAATTCTTTAATCTTTCTAGATTTCAGTTTCTTCATCTGTGAAATGGGAATAATAAACACTTCAGGGTTGTTGTAAAAACTAATGAGGTAATGAGCATAAAGTACCTAGTACAGTTTCTCACTCACAGTGAAACACAGTTTGCATTATACTTGCCTGTTAGGCAGTCGTTCTTGGAGTTGGCTTGCTGTTCTGATTACAGAGGACAGCATAGGATCAAGCATCAGCAGATACGAATTTGAGTTCTAGCTTCTATTACTTGTAAGATTTGTCACCTAAAACAGATTGCCCTTCTGAGCATCAAATTCTCACTCTCTAAATGAGAATAATCAGGCTTACCTTACATGTGCATGCACACACATGCACTTACACACACTCATGCCACATAGAGGTCAGGGTGGAATATGTGAAAGATGCAGCTGTGGCTCACGTGTACTCTATAGATCCATTATAGTTGAAGCTTTGGGTAGCTGTCCAAAACAATGCATTTGCTGGAATAGTTCAAGCTCTTAATACATTTTTAAAATTAAAAACATCATTTTTTAAATTTAAATTCAAGTTAATATATAGTGTATTATTAGGTAATATAGTGTATATAGTGATTCATTAGTTGCATATAACACCCAGAGCTCATTACATCATGTACCCTTCTTAATGCCTGTCACCCAGTTACCCCATGTAGTTACCCCAGTGTAAGAGGGTTCCCTTTTCTCTACATTCTTGTCAACATATGTTGTTTCCTGAGTTGTTAGTACATCTTGTAGGCAGAAACCCTAATTCTATAGTTCTGGAGCACCACTCTTTTAATTGGAATTAGTTGCTGGAAGGACACCAAATTGTTTATATATTGATTACAACCTCATTTTTTTTCAGAAGACATTGAAAAAAAAATTAGGAGGAAATGCACCAAAATACTGTTTATTAAACAGTGGTTTGTGAGCAACCATGACAGAATTATGGTCATTGTTTTGTCTGTTTAGTTTTCCACATTCTCTGTACCTTGGTAATTATATGATACTTTCAAATGGGAAAAGTTTTAAAATATTTGTTACAAAATAGATCCATGAGATATCACTGTGAATAGATTCAGATAACAAACTTTGTCCTAATCGCATGTCTTTCAGGTATGAACCTGACTTGATTTGGTCTGATGGAGAGTGGGAATGTCCTGATACTTACTGGAACTCTACAGAGTTTCTTTCTTGGCTCTACAATGATAGTCCAGTCAAGGCATGTGATTGTACAACTTCTTTCTTATTTGTCATGAGAAAAGAAAGAGTGAGGAGCCAAGATCTGGAGTATGAACAGTGACAGCAGCAACAATAATAAATACTAGTAGCGACATGGAGGTGGTAGGGACCAGGGGACTTCATAGATGTGAAAGGTTCCGCCTTTAATTCTTTTGCCCTCCTTCCTTGGAGAATAAGCTAGCTTTTTTCTCCTTTAATTCTTGATTTTGACAACAGAGGTTTAAAGCTTATTAAACTTAAGTAGTATGTAGAAGTCCCAGAGACTTAGAGAAAGTAAAATAAATCATTAAAATAAATCACGAACATCATAAATGAGAAAACCACCCAAAAAATTAATGTGCAAAATAACTAAAATTAAATAATGGGAATAGGATGCAGATATTTATGACCTCATTCATCTCTGCTGGATATGCAGTTTAAATCTCAAGAGGAAATTTCATTTCTCTCATATCCACCATAGATTGGGGTGAGGTCGTACCTGAATCATCCCTACCTGGATTGATGTTCCCCATTTAAGTTAGGTAATACTGTCCACATATCTGTCTACTTAGACAGTCTCTGCTGGATCTCTAAGGGCAAGAACTTAGAGTTTATTCACCTTGGATACCCCAGTACAAGAATCTTAATAGTATTAATCATAACATTAAGATATTCTATGTAATGATTTCTCATAGTTCAACAAAGATTTGAAGAAAGGAAAAGAATATTTTCTGATTTTTCTTTACCAAGGAAAAGAAAGTCTGGGTTATATAGTGGAAAGCATCCTGAGCTGGGTTCACATACCTGATTCACAGTCCCAGTTTCCAGAAACTGTGCCCAGGGATATGACCTCCTCCCCAAAATATCTTCTTCTTCTCCAAGAAGTCGTTTCCCAGATTACCTTTAAATCAGGCTCTCCCAGCTCTGACATTATATGTAGCTTGACCAGGATTTCTCAGCCTCGGCACTATTGACTTTTGGGGCTGGATATTTTGCTGTGAGGGGGCTGTCTTGTTTGTTGTAAGACATTGTAACAGCATCCTCGGCCTCTACTCACTAGATGGCAGTAGCACCACCCCAATTCTGGCAACCAAAAATGTCTCTAGACTTTGCCAAAAGTCTCCTGAGCAAAATAGCCCCCAGTTGAGAACCATTCTAGACTAAATCTATTCCTATGTCCCAATACACACTTAATTTACCAAACTGCATTACGTAAGGAAGCAAAGTAGTTTTACCCCAGATGACCCAGTACTCTCTCTTCCTTTAGGATCACGTAGTGGTAAATGACCGGTGGGGTCAGAACTGTTCCTGTCACCATGGAGGATACTACAACTGTCAAGATAAATACAAGCCAGAGAGCGTGCCAGACCACAAGTGGGAAATGTGTACCTCCATAGACAAGGTCTCCTGGGGCTATCGTCGTAACATGGTGATGTCGGACGTTGCAAGTGAATGTGAAATCATCTCGGTAAGAGTTAGTTATTTGTTAGCTACTGACTCAAGAGTGGTGGGAGCACCCTGGATGGAAGTGCAGGTTGACAGAATCCACTGGGGTCATTGAACACACCCATAGAAACCTGTCCTGGAGGGCAGCTGGGTGGCTCAGTTGGTTAAGCGGCTGCCTTCAGCTCAGGTCATGATCCCAGGGTCTTGGGATCGAGCCCTACTTTGGGTTCCCTGCTCAGCAGGGAACCTGCTTCTCCCTCTGCCCTTCCCCCTGCTTGTACTCTGCTGTCTCTCTCAAATACATAATTTTTTTTTTTTTTTAAAGAAACCTGTCCTGGAGTGCCTGGGTGGCTTAGTTGGTTAAACATTCAACTCTTGGTTTCGGCTCAGGTTGTGATCTCACGGTCATGACCTCAAGCCTCACATGGCTCTGTGCTCACCACAGAGTCTGCCTGGGATTCTCTCTCCTCCCTCTGCCCCTCTACCCTATTCAAATAAATTTTTTTTTTTTTGAGAGACAGAGAGAGGCAGAGACACAGGCAGAGGGAGAAGCCGGCTCCATGCAGGGAGCCTGATGTGGGACACAATCCTGGAACTCCAGGATCACGCCCTGGGCTGAAGGCAGGCACTCAACCATTGAGCCACCCAGGGATGCCCTAAATAATTAAATCTTAAAACAAAAAAACTAAAAAACAAAACCTGTCCTAAGGAAATAACTATAATTACAGAAGAAAGTTTTACATACAGAGTTATTCTTGCCAGCATTATTTGCAGTTGGATATGTGGGTTGTTTTAATTTCTTGTAGTGCTCACACTTTGCGCTTCTGACACATGATCCTCTCCACCGCATGCTGTGCTGTGGGAAGTGCAGGCTCACACAGAAGTGCCCATGATCATTCCCTGGATTTTGAGTTAATATATTTCTCCACTATGTAGCAAGATTTTTCAGTTTTCTCAGATAAGCCTGTCCTTCAATAATGACAAAATACAGATAGCATTTCAAAAGGGCAAGGGATATTCACCAAGGGAATGAATGTGCCCTAGATTCTTCTCTTCACACCTGTGTGCTCCAAACATTCTGCCGGGCTTGGCACTCGCAGCTAGGATTTCACTGTTTCTGCTCTCTCCAGGAACTGGTTCAGACAGTGAGCTTGGGAGGCAACTACCTCCTCAACATTGGACCAACTAAAGATGGACTGATTGTCCCCATCTTCCAAGAAAGGCTTGTTTCCATTGGGAAGTGGCTAAGCATCAATGGGGAGGCTATCTATGCCTCTAAACCATGGAGGGTACAACTGGAAAAGAACACGACGTCTGTGTGGTGAGCTTGTCTTCTGCTGCATGTAGGAGCAGGACTGTGGCCCCTCACCGGCTGGTGTCTCCTCGGGTCCACAGTGTTAGCAACCAGGGCAGAAGCTATCTGGAGGAAACCCCAAAGCAGCACTCTTGCTATTAAATGTGTACCCCGATTTATGTCTTAAGCCACCAAAATATTTTTGACTAGTAAGAGGTATGGTAGGCTTGGTGAAAGGAAAAGCTACAAAGTGTTCCTTGTTACCCTGCCTCCTAAAAATATCAATAGCCAATAATCGCATAGCACCTCCCACGTTTAAGGCTCCAGTCCAGATTCTTCTCACTCACTTAATCCCCTCAACAATCCCACCAGGTGGATATTGTCATTATCCGCATATTGCAAGTGAGAAGGGGGACCCAGGACCCCTCTGTACCTTGCTTAGGATCACAAAGCTAACCTAGCAGAGAAGTTGTGACTCAAATGTAGATTTGTGGATTTGGTTATTTGACCTTGGGCCTGCGTTTTTCAACGAAATGGGGTGATGATATTTAGCTTCCTGTGGTTGTCCTGGAGGTGAAGTGTGTAAATTTATGTAAAGCACCAGGTGTACTCGAAGTGTTCAGTGAAAGGCATCTGCAGGTGTTATACCATTGGGTACAGCGGTCTTTGCCTCAGGGGAAAGACGTTCATCCTTCCATTTGAGGTGAATTCCTATTTATGATTTTTACCGTCTTCTGTAAGCATGGTGAAGTCTCAGAACAAATCCTCCTTTAGTGTACATCTTGCCCTTATTGGATCCTCTACTGTTTTCAAGTGGATTTGGAGTTGAAAAAAGATTTGAATAATAACCAAATGGCTTCAAGGTTAAATAACTAGTGTAAGCGTTAACATTTTTTAAAGAAAACTGATAACCCAATAGGAAAAATGGAAGAGATCCCCAGAAATAGTCTTACAGAGCTGCTTTCTTCCCACAGACATTAATAGGCATTGAGTTAGTAGCACTTCCCAGCAGCACTGACAGACTCAAGGTGTTGGCATCAGTAGATAATTGAAAGGGGGATACATGGGGCTATGTGTCAGGGTCACTAGCCAGGTATGTCCGATACTGACATTTCTTTTTTCCCAGGTATACCTCAAGAGGAATGACTGTTTATGCCATTTTCCTGCGCTGGCCAGAAAATGGAGTCTTAAGCCTTAAATCCCCCGTAACTACCTCGACTACACAGGTGAGGAAGCTTAGTGAGTCCATTCTGAGAGGTAACCTTCCTAAAGGAATTGGAGGTCTTCTCTACTTCTTCCTTCCTGCCCCATGTCTCCTCCATATTGACCCTCCCTACTTCTAGACTGTCTGTCCTGCCCTGGCCCAGGGCAGCTGTCTCCCAAAATGTTCAAACCATATTCTATACTCAGGGTGTTGATGTCTTCTCCATTCCTTTTTGCTATCTGCAGATAACGATGCTGGGGATCCAGAAAGATCTGAAGTGGTCCATGGAACCAGAAGAAGGTCTGCTCATTTATCTGCCCCAGTTACCACTCTTTACTCTGCCAGTTGAGTTTGGATGGACTATAAAGCTGACAGGAGTGGAATGATTGTTGGAGTTCAGGAGGAACTGCCTCCTGTTGGCTGCTTTGGTTTTCCTCTTATAGCACCATCATTGTAATAAACTACTTCTCTACTCAGAGATGGCTTTTCCAACACATTTTAATCAAAGGAACTGAGTGCATCATACTGATGTCTCAGTGGATCAGAGATCTGAGTTCCATTGCTAGCATACCTCTCTCTGATCAGCAAGAGGCACTAGCTGGTTAAGCTCTGCGTTCATCCTTCTATTCCTAACTTGGGAAATTATCTACCCTGGAAACTTCCCTCCATTCCTTGTGTTTGAAACCTATTTCCTTACTCAATGACTTCAGATAAAGAATGAGCCAAGTCACCCCATTGCCTATGGAAGAAGGTGAAGAGGATCTGGCAATCTCAACCATACGCTGTGTGTTTAGCATCAGTTGTCACCAGCACCCCTCCAAGAGGAGGAGAGCCTGGAAGGGAAGCAAGAGGCTAGCAAGGGCTGCCAATGGTCAGCCTTTGGAAGTTTCCATAGCAAACTAGGTGCTCAGAAATTCTGTCTGTTTACAGTGATAGGATGAAGGAAATGAATGTGATTCTGCCCTGCTTTTTAAAATATAATCAAATAAATAAATTTTTATGTCAAATCATTTCTACCAAAAAGCATGTTGTAGTTTTCTTCTCCCAGTTTCTTATGGACTGCTTATGAAGAGCTCTGTTTCTGTTAAAAAAAAAAAAAAAAAAAGGACTTGCCAAGTCTCCATAATGCCAAACAAAGAACATAATTCCTTTGCTTTTTATGCTTCTCCTAGTACCGTTCTTTTGAGTTGGCTATCATTTCAGCCCCTTTCATTATTACAGATCTAATCAGATTTTCTATTTCTTTTTTATTTAATAGATATATTTATAAATCTTTTACCTGACATTTGAGGAATATTTGTTTTTCTCAAGCACATGGAATACTGACCAATGTAAATATCAAAGGAGCACTATCATACAGATTTATATGTCTACAACATAATTCAAGGACCTATAAAAAAATACAAACTTGGAGGAAAAAAATCCTATATATTTGAAAATTTTATAACACACTTCAAAATAACTCACTGATCAAAGAAGGCACCATACAAGAAAATAGAATAATGAGACCACTGTGTAGTGAACCTTGTGAGATGGAATGAAGTCTTTAGAGAGGATTCTGGGAAGATGGCAGAGGAGGCACCAGGAAGCTGTCTCCTGACCTAGACAATAAGTATACTGGCAGGATTCGGTGGAAGTTCTGTAGAACTCTGGAGTCTACCAAGGCTCCAGCTTCCAGAGGAAGATTTGGATGATAAATTGTGGTTTTGATCAACTTACCTATCTTCCAGCCCCAGGCATGTGGCAGGCAACCATAAATATGTTCCTGGAGAAACTTTTGCACAGCTTGTGGGAGCCAGGGTGGGCAAAAAGGACTCTGTCCTCCAAATATCTGGGATTTGATCTCTGACTATTGCTTCTGAGGCAAAAATATGGGCAGCCATTGTTGCACCTCCCCCACTGCTGCAAGCTACTCCTCCTCTGGCTAAAGTGACTTCCATGAATTTAAAGGGCTGGTGCCCCACCACCCACCCCCATTCAAATATTATCCTTTTGGGAGCCAGATATTAAAAACTAGGGCATTCAAAAACAACTGCATGCATGAGGAATATTAGAAAGTGACCACACATGCCTAGAGAAAGGCTCAGAAAAGACCTGAGAATTTACATCTCTGGCTCATCCTCAGCACAGATAGCCTACAACAATCAAAATGCAAAATTAACTTAAAAAAACCAGCAAGCCCTGGGAAGGGGGGAGGGGGAGAATCTGAATCTGATATCCAGAATTACTACTGAGTCCAATGTCCAGATTTCACCAAAAATATCACAAGGCATGCAGAGAAACAGGAAAACATGGCCCATTCAAAAAAAAAAAAAAAGGTAAGTCAACGGAAACTGAAACAGGCCCTGAAAAAGACCTGATGGCAGATAAACTGGACAGACTTTAACCTTAAAGATGCTCAAAAAAACTATAGCTGTGGAGAAAGTCAAGAAAATGATGTATGAATGAAGCTGATATGTCAATAGATAGCTAGATAACCTAAGAAGAAACCACACACACACAACACACACAACACACACACACACACACACACACAATTCTGGAGCTGAAAAGTCCAACTGACATGAGAAATTCACTGGAGGGATTCAAAGGCAGACTTGAGTAGGCAGAAGAAATAATACTGCACTTGAAGATGGGACAATAGAAATTATTGAGTCTGAGGAACTGAAAGAAGCAAGATTGAAGAAAAGATCATATGTTGGAGCAGAGATAAACAAAATAGAGAAAAAGAATAGAGAAGATGAATGAAACATGGTTTTTTGAAAAGATCAGTAAAATGACACGTGGATGGACTAAGGAAAAAGAAGGTTCAAATTACTAAAACGAGGGCAACCCGGGTGGCTCAGCACTTTTGGCCCAGGGTGTGGTCCTGGGGACTGGGGTCGGGTCCCACATCGGGCTCCCTGCGTGGAGGCTGCTTCTCCTTCTGCCTCGTGTCTCTGCCTCTGTCTCCCTCTGTGTCTCTCATGAATAAATAAAATCTAAAAAAAAAAGTTACTAAAATGAAAATGGGGACATTACCACTAATTCTACAGAAATAAAAAGGATTATAAGAGCTAATGAGCTATTGTAGTCTAACAAATTGGATACCTAGATGAAGTGGGAAATTTCCTAAAAACAAAACCTACCAAGACTACAAAGAAATAGAAAACCTGAATAGATGTATAACTAGTAAGGAGATTGAATCAGTAATTTTAAGATCGCCTGACAAAGAAAAGCCCTGGACCCAGTAGCTTCTTTGGTGAATTCTACCAAACATTTAAAGACAAACTAACTTTCCAGAAAAGCAAAGAGGAGAAAAAACTTCCTAACTTACTCTATAAGGCTGGCATTAACCTGATACCAAATCCAGACAAAGACACCAGAAGACTACAGACCAACATCCCTTATGATCATTGATACAAAAACTCTTCCAAAAAATACCAGCAAACCAAAATCAGCAACATTCAAAGTATATGCCATCACTAAATGGGATTTTTTCATGGAATGCAAGGTTGGTTCAAGATACAGAAATCAATCATTGTAACACAGTAACAAAACAAAAGGGAAAAATGGTCATTTTTAAAAAAAGATTTATTTATTCATTCAGAGAGAGAGAGGCAGAGACACAGGCAGAGGGAAAAGCGGGCTCCATGTAGGAAGCCCGATGCGGGACTCCATCCGGGGTCTCCAGGATCACAGCTAAACCACTGCGCCACCGGGGCTGCCCGAAAAATGGTCATCTTAATTGAGGCAGAAAAGCATTTGACAAAATTCAACATCTTTTTGTGACAAATACACTCAAGAAATTAGGAATAGAGGGGCACCTGGCTGGCTCAATCAGAGGAGCATAAGACTTTTGATCTCAGGGTTATGAGTTTAAGCCCCATATTGGGCATAGAGCTTACTTTATTAAAAAAAAAAAAAGCAAAGCTCAGAATGGGAGTAAATATTTGTAAATCACATGTCCAGAATATAAAGTGGACTCCTAAAACTCAACTAACAAAAGAATCTAATTTAAAAATGGAAAAGGACTTGAATATGTATTTCTCCAAAAAAAATATACAAATGGCCAATAAGACATAAAAAGATGGTGAGAATCACTAATAGCTAGGGAAATGGAAATCAAAACCAAGAGACACCACTTCCCAACTATTCGGACTATTAGGCTATTACCAAAAAACAAAACAAAACAAAAAACAGAAAACAAATGTTGGCAGGGATGGGGAGAAACTGGAACCCTTGTACATTACGTACTGGTGGGAGTATAGAATGGTGCAGCTGTTATGGAAAATATAGCACTTCTTGAAAAAAATTAGAGAATTACCATATGGCCCAGCAATACCACTTTTGGGTATATACCCCCAAAGAACTGAGAGCAGAGTATCAAAAAGATTATTGGTACACCGTAACAGCTAAAATATGGAAGCAACCCAAGTGTCCATTGACAGATGAATGGATAAGCAAACTGAAACATATATGTGTATTTTGCAGTTATATATATTTCCACAGTTAGCTTTTCCATTATGTATATTATTTATTTCACATATATATTGCATGGTTTGCTTATCCACATATATATGCTACTCAATGTTAAAAAGGAAGGAAATTCTGCAATGTGCTACAACACAGATGAAACTTGAGTACATTAAAAGAAATCAGCCAGTCACAAAAAGACAAAAACCATACTATTCTCCTTGAATGAGGGACTTAACATTATCCAAATAATAGTGTCAGAAAGTAGAATGGTGGGTGCTGGATACTGAATTTCAGTTTTACAAGATGAAAGGAGTTATGGAGATGGATAGTAATGATGGTTGCACATTATGAATGTATTTTTTTTTTTTTAAGATTTAAGAGAGGGGCACTTGGGTGGCTCCGTGAGTGAGCATCTGCCTTTGGCTGAGGTCATGATCCCGGGGTCCTAGGATTGAGTCCCTCATCAGCCTCCCTACAGGGAAGGGAGCCTGCTTCTCCCTCTGCCTATGTCTCTGCCTCTCTCTGTGTGTCTCATTAATAAATAAAATCTTTAAAAAATCTATTTAAGAGAGTGAGAACAGGGGGAAAGGGAAAGGAAGAAGGAGAGGGAGGGACTCTCAAGGAGACTCCCCACTGAGCATACAGCCCAACCCGGGGCTCAGTCTCATGACCCAGATATCATGACCTGAGCCAAAATCAAAAGTTGGACACTTAAAAAAAAAAGTTGGACACTTAACCGACTAAGCCACCTAGGCGCCCATGAACATATTTAATACCACTGAACTGTACACTTTAAAATGGTTAAGATGATAAATTGTATGTTATATGTGTTTTAGCACAATAAAAAAATGGAAAAATTTTTGAAAAAAAAAATAGAAGACATGTATAGCCTTAAATGTTTATACTGGAAAAAATGAAAGGCTGAGATTTATAGGTTATTGGATGTCACTGTAAAGAAATCAGGAAGGGGTGAAACCAGAGCACCAATCCAAAGGAAATATTTGAGTGATGAAATTAAAAGCAGAAACTAGGGAAGCCTGGGTGGCCCAGTCAGTTAAGTGGCTGCCTTCAGCTCGGGTCTTGATCTCGGGGTCCTAGGATCCAGCCCTGTGTTGGGCTTCCTGCTCAGCTGGGAGCCTGCTTCTCCCTCTTGCCCCTTACCCTATTCATGTTCTCTATCTCTCTCAAATAAATAAATAAAATCTAAAAAAAAAAACAAAGCAGAACACAATAATGATCCACAGGGCCAATAGTTGATTGTTTGGAATACTAACAAATAGAAAAAAAAAAGGATAAACAATTTTAGGAGTGAAAAAGGGGACACTACACAGACAGATTAAAAATAACATGGATGATATTATACCAATAAAACTTTAAAAAAATGAAAACATTCCTAGAAAATAGCATTAAGCCAAGTGGCTTAAGAAAAAAAAAATAGAACACTCGCAAGTCCTCTAACATTTAAAGACACTGAGTCAGTAGTGCACAATCTTCCCATAAAGAAAAGACCAGCCCTAGGTTTTACAGAGGAGCTCCACAAAACTTCCAAAGA